AGAGGAATAGGAAAAGAGAAAAGAAAGGAGAACAGAGATTAGATAAGAGATAGGAGGAAACGAGAGAAGAGAGCAAAAAATGGAATAAGAAAAAGGAAGAGAAAGAAGATAAAAGATTATCCTGTCGATAAGACAGGAAAGAAAGATGGTAAGGAAGAAGCCGGAAAGTAGGACAGGTGAGAGTAGAGCAAGGAGAGGGCGCAGGGGAGAACAGGAAGAGACTGAAAGGAAGGAAGTGGCGCGCCCATCACCACGCAAGGCACGCAGGATAGTAAGCGAGTGGTGACATAGGGACATAGAAAGAAACTAGAGAGTAGGGACAGGTGGGAGTGGGAAGCGGAGTGACAGTGGGGGTGCTCTCTGGAGTACCCCCTGCAGACTTGCTGGCTCGCATGTGCGCCGAAGTATATAGGTGTACACGCGGACTACAAACGGCGGGGATTGCCATAACGGACCGTGCTCGTTGCCTCATAAGAGTCCAACAGCGACGGGTCCTGATAGAGAGATGGACCGGCCGCCTCCAAAACCCGGGGCTGCCGGGCCGCAGGACCGTCGAGGCTGTCCTTCCCTGCATAGACCAGTGGCTCAGCAGGGAACATGGGGGTGTCACGTATAGGATGACCCAGACGGGCATCCATGCCCATCACACGGGCATGGATGCTTTGGTGAGTATCTGGGTCGTATAGGGAGGGAACCAACAGCAGTCCGCCATCACTGCGGCCACCCAAGGGATGACGCCCAGCACACCCTCGCGGACTGTCCCGCGTGGGTGTGCGAAAGGGCTGACCTGGTGGCCGCAGTGGGACGCGATTTGTCACTGCCGACAGTTGTGTCGGCAATGGTTGGGGCAAAGGAGAGATGGGGAGCGTTCTCCTCCTTCTGCGAGAGTCCTCTCGCAGAAGGAGGAAGCGGAAAGAGAGGGAGAAGGCCGGGAGAAATAACCCCCAGCACTCAGAAGAGAGGAGAAGAGACGGAGGGCGGGGACGGGCCCCCTCTTTTCCCGCCATCGGCGAGCTTGCTCGTCTGTGGTGGCGGGAATTGGGGAGGGGCACGCCCCGATAGAGGAAGTAGTAATAGGAGGGATGGGGACGGACCCTCTCTTTCTTCGGCACCGGCGGGTTTGCCCGCCGGCGGTGTCGGAGATCGGGAGGGGGGCGCCTCCAGGAAAAGAAGAAGAGTGATGGAGGAAGAAGGGGAGGTAACAGTAGCGGAGGGCAGGGGCGGGCTCTCTCTTTCCTCGCCATCGGCGAGCTTGCTCGCTGGTGATGGCAGGGGTCGAGGGGGGGGGTTTGCCCCGCACATACCCGCGCCTAATATAGACGCGGAATAAGGTTGTCAGGGGGGAGCTGGAAACGCCTAAGTCCCGAGGTTCCTTCCCCAAGACCTCTCGCGAAACGGGAGCGCGGGCACGCTGATCTCGCTTAGTGGATCGGTGCGTCCGCGCCCCCAAACGGGCAACCCCCCCCGGTCTCGACCGAATCCTGCTCACAAAGAAGTGAGACGGTCGCGGCTGGGGGAACCGAGAGGGGGGATCGCTCGCCTGCGGGGACGTGCATCGCTCGTCCTTGCGGGTTGCGATCTCTCTCCTCTAGGACGTAGATGCGGCGGGAGGGCCCTCACACCGGGTCCGATGGGCACCGGTGGGAGAGCATCAACTTTGGGAGGGGGAGGGAGCACCACTCTGGAGGCGGGGGGTGGCGGCTCGAGCGGGAATACTCGAGCCGTGACCTCGCTCCCCCAAACTTTTTGGGAGGGCGCGGCGTGGGGTTGATACCGCCCTGCGCTGCAACCGCAAGGACTCCGCACAATGCAATTCGCGGGGGGGAGAGTGTGGCAATGATCTCGGAGAAAACAATGGGTATATACAAGGTGGCGGTAAAATCAGGAAACCTAAAGGGTACGTTAGCTAGACATGCCAAAGAATCGGCAGCAGATCTATGCGCAGCGGCGACCGTGCTGGCGCTTAAGGCACAAAACCCGAGAGAGGAACCGATCGATAACCAACTACGGGAATTAAGGCAGCAGATAAGGGCCTTAAAAGTAGAGAACGAACACCTCAGAAGGACTGTACAACAAATTAAAATGCCCAAAAGACAGGCCGCAGCTTCAGGGGGCAGTACAAACCAAGAGGAGGATACGGAGGAAGAAAGGATAAGACCGCTCAGGGGAAACCAAAGAACGGCCAGGACAGGGAAATGGATTGCTGAAAGCCCACTTCCGCTCGGGGGTGGGGGAACCCCAGGGGCCGCATATGAAGTGGCCCCGGGGATTCCGCTTCCACAGACGAGTGGGGGACTCTCACCAACCCGAAGGGAGGAAACTTTGGAGGAAATGGAGGTGGTGGAGGAACCATCGATCTTCAGAAAGGAGGACTTCCCACCTCTTGGTCCATCCTTAAACAAAAAGAATAGGAAGAAGTGGGAGACACCCAAGGAGCTGAAGTTGTCGGAGAAACAAAGAGAAACTCCGACCACTCACAGCATCCATAAAATGGAGGAGAGCGGAGATGAGGAAAGGAGGAAACAGGAAAACCTCATCACTCTAATAGAGGGTGTCATCGCCAGAGAAATGGACAGGCGACTGGGAGATCCTATCCCCACCTACGCGCAAAGGAAGGAGGAGGAAAGGGCGAAAAGGACGGAGCAGGAGAAAATCAAGCGACAAACCCAGAAGGATATCGCAACCAAACCTTCTGCAAGAAACCCGGAAGGAAAGATGGGAACAAAGCCAAAGACCAAGCCCATCATAAAGTCGGTAACGACTCTCAACCCCCTGGCCAGGCTAGCCAAAGAGAGGAACGGGACAAAGATAATAGTCCCAAAGAATAAAAAAAAACAGGAAACTAAAACAAAAATCCAACCACTTCGAAAAACTGTGGAGACACCCCGACGGGACCCACAATGGACAGAGGTGGTTGGAAGGAGGAGCAAGAACATGCAGAAACCCAAGGACACGGGAAAGGAGGATGGAAAACCGCTCAAACCACAGGCGCAAAAGCCACAGGTGCCAAAGCCGCAGCTCCCTCGTAAAAGAAGAGAGCCAAAAACAGCGGCAATAACAATAACGTGCCCCCCCGGCCAATATAAAAGCGTTATGCGCGAGGCACGAGAAAAAATTGATTTAGAAGATCTCGGCATCAAGGAGGGCGTCAAGATCAGGAGGGCCATAACGGGGGCCCTCATGTATGAAGTGACAGGTGGGAAAAGCCAAGAACTGGCAGACAACCTGGCAAGAAGGTTGAAAGTAGCCCTGGCAGATAAGGAGGGAATTAAAATTTAACGCCCTACCAAGACTGCAGAAATAAGAATAAGGGGGTTAGATGAATCAACCCTCTTTGACGTAAGAAATGCAGTCGCCAATGAGGGGAAATGTGAATGGGAGGAGATAAGTGTGGGCGACATAAAAAAAAACCCCAATGGAATGGGGATCGTGTGGGTACGTTGCCCAGTCGCAGCTGCAAATATCTTGGCCAAGAAAGGACAAATCAAGATAGGCTGGGCACGTACCCGCATCGACCTGTTGGAGGCGCGCCCCCTCCAATGCTATAAGTGTTTGGAGGGGGGACACGTTAGGGCCCGATGCCCTAACAAAGTAGACCGCAGCGATACCTGCTACCGCTGCGGTCAGGTAGGACACAGCCAAGGACTGTGACGCACCGGCGCACTGCGCAATATGCAGTAGTAAAAACTTCCCGGCTAATCATAGAACGGGAGGCAAAGCATGTGCGCCGGTGCAAAAGGGGAAAAAAGGAATTCCCCTGAGTAGTGCAACGTCTTTTCCTGTGCCGAAACGCCAAGTTCGGACAGGGGAGCGTTCAATTTAAAGATTCTCCAAGTTTAACTAATGAAACGGTAAAAATCGGTATCAGAAGAGTTAATTCTACGCCCTTAGGGGCGTTCATTAACTCACGGTAAAATTGGGCGCCAGGCGCGTGTGAACGCGCCACGATAATTGTGCAATGTTCGGTGCTACGCGGAGTGATTATAGTTAGTGCGCGGACGCGAGTGTCAAGTTTAGGACGGCACAAAAAAGAAAATAAAGAAAGTTCACGGCACACAATATATATTTTTTACAAATAATTATACAGCACAAAAGAAATGCTCTAATGCAAGCGAACTGCAATTAGAAGCGTTCAATGATTGCCGGAAGTGCAATCCAATGACAAAAATCGATCTCCCGCGAGAAGTGCGACGAGAATCGAGAAGAGCGAAAAAGGAAAGCTGTCTGTGCGCGCGAACGACTGGACGACGATAGATCCGTTCGACCAGAGAAAACGAGAACCAGCGTGATTGTTTTCTACCGACCTTCGAGAGAGTTCCGAGGTAAGGAACACCGTGTTTGTGTTCCTTCCACATAAAGATAGAATCCTCTCGAATGTCGGAGGACAAAATCACTTGTTGTCGTCGGTTATATTTATGACGAGACGGTTACCTGTCACCGTTCAAAACGACAGGTATTTCGAGCGTTAAAGACACGCGCGGTCTTGCGATATGGCGGGGCGCGTTCGCTCGCGATTGGCGCACGGAGATTTAGCGCGAACCGTCGCGCCAAATTCGAGCGGCTATTTCAGCGCAGTTAGCTGCGCTTGTCTCAAGGCGAAGAATGCACTCCGAGATGCATTCACACACCCCCACACACACACACTTTCTCTCTCTCTCTTTCTCTCTCTCTCTCTCCCTAATCCGCAACATCCCGCCCGCCTTCGTCGGGTACACGCGACGAACTATCCTAGGGTTGCTAGGGATAATGTGTCGACTGGTTTATCGTCGCGACCGCGGGTCGAGCGCGAACGCGAGTTTTGACAGGCGAGGTTAGGAGCCCCATGTGCCACGTGCTGAGCGAGTGGAGCTACGACAAACGACAAAATATGCGAGACAGGTAAGTATGAGAAGAGTTAACGCAGTACAATTGACAATAGTGAGACGAACGACTAATTTTATAACTAATTTTACGATATTTCACAGGTATTTGCTAAGCGCCAGGTTGCACGAGACACGCGGTTACGCGGGGGTCCCGGACTCCACGGCGGCTACCGTCGGCAGTGGGACCAGCTTGACCACTGGCCGGGTCAGTTCACCGACGGTGGTGCGGACGTCCACCACGCGCACTTGGCCATCCTCGCCCGGGTGGAAGCGCGTAACTCGGGCAAGCGGCCACCGGCACGGCGGGGTGCTCTCTCCTTTGATGAGGCACAGCTGACCTTTGCAGAGGTTCCCCCGGGAGGTCCACCACTTGGGCCGTGGTGTGAGTCCCTGCAGGTATTCGCGGGTCCATCGCTGCCAGAGGTGATCCCGCATCTGCTGCAGAAGTCGCCACCGGTTCAGACGGTTAGGAGGGGCGTCCAAGAGGGACGGCTCCGGGATGCTGAGGAGAGGCCCTCCCACCAGGAAGTGTCCCGGCGTCAGGGCGTCAAGGTCGTCTGGATCATCCGACAAGGCCCCGAGGGGCCTTGAGTTTAGGCAGGCTTCGACCTCCGCGAGGAGTGTGGACAGCTCCTCGAAGGTGAGCTTAGCCTCTCCGATGGTGCGCCGCAGGTGATGTTTGACGGCCTTGACAGCCGCCTCCCACAGGCCGCCGAAATGGGAAGCCGACGGTGGGTTGAAGACCCACCGAACTCCCTCGTCTGCTAGGCGGCCAACGAGGGCGTGGACTTCGCCGCTCGCTGCCCTGAAGAGCTCTCTAAGTTGTCGATCCGCACCTACAAAATTGGTGCCGCAGTCGCTATACAGGGCCGTGCATCTCCCTCGACGCGACACGAACCGGCGAAAGGCGGCGAGGAAGGCTTCGGCAGAGTAGTCGCTGGTCACCTCCAGGTGGACGGCGCGAGTGCTGAAACATACGAAGATTACCAGGAAGCCCTTGTGGGCTTTGTGACCGCGGCCCTTCGTCGTCCTGAGCCAGACTGGGCCAGCGAGGTCCACGCCGGTGTGAAGGAAGGGTCGACCTGGTGTGACCCGCGTCCTCGGCAGATCTCCCATCTTCGGTTGCGGAGTGGCCGCCCGCCATCGTACGCAAGGTAGGCAGCGATGTATGTGGCTTCGTACCAGTTGACGGGCGCGTGGGATCCAAAACCGTTCCCTGATGTTCCCCACGGTGGACTGGACTCCACCATGCAGGGTGCGTCTGTGAGCGGCATCGATCACCAGGTAGGTGAGGTGAGATTCCGGTGGTAGGATGACTGGGTGTCGCTGGTCGGCATCCAGAACAGCGTGTTTCAGCCGCCCGCCAACCCGCAGGACCCCCTCATCGTCGAGCATGGGAGTCAACTTCCTGAGTGAGCTTCTGGTCGCCAGTGATTTCCCGGTACGAAGGTCCCGCAGCTCTAGGTGGAAGTTCGCTCCCTGGACTACCCGGATCCATCGAGTCAGGGCGGCGTCCATCTCCTCCGGCCTCAGTAGGTCAGGAGCAGCCTCGTCGCTGACGGGGCGGCGCTGGCGAGTTGCCCAACGCCAGATCCAAAAGAATACGCGTAGCAACCGGCGAAGGCTGGAGAATCGGCGAAGCTCTTCAGGTTCCAGCACTTCCCTGACCACGTGGCATTTTTGCGGTCGCTGTTCTGGCAGGCTGGTCTCTTCCTGGGATCCTACATCCTTCGGCCAGGTGTCAGGATGACCGCTGAGGTAGGTCGGCCCATGCCATTACAACGGATGGCGTAGCAGCTCCCTCGGCGACACCCCCCGGGAGGCGCAGTCAGCTGGATTGTCTCTGCCGGGTACGTGCCGCCATTTTGCGTCCTGGTTCTCTCGGTGGATTTCGGCGACTCGGTTTGCTACAAATGTTGTCCATCTTGCAGGGTGTCCTCGGATCCAGCCGAGCGTGACTGTGGAGTCCGTCCAAAGATGCACCGCCGATCCTTCAAGGCCCAAGGAGGACCGGACGTGTTCGGCCAGTTTAGCCAAGAAGGTGGCCCCGCAAAGCTCCAGGCGGGGAAGCGATACACGCTTGACCGGTGCGACCTTGGTCTTAGCGACTACCAGGGTCATGTCGGGCTGCCCGTTGATCACGCCCCTGAGGTAGATCACGGCAGCGTAGGCTCGTTCGGAGGCGTCGCAGAATCCGTGCAGCTGTTGCGAGTTGTTTGCAGCGTCACTCTGGAACCAGCGTGGCACCCTGATCTCCTCAAGCAAGGGCAGCTCCACTTCCAATCGGGTCCACTCGGCGGCGTCGTCCCTTGTCAGCGGAGCGTCCCAGTCTAGCTGCTGTATCCAGGCTGATTGGACGAGCAGCTTGGCACGTACTATGATCGGCGCCAACCAGCCTAGTGGGTCGAAGAGACGTGCTGTCTGCGAGAGCACCGATCTCTTCGTCGGTAGAGCCGTTGAGGTTGGTCGTACGGAGAGGGAAAGAACATCCTCCCTTGGATTCCATCGGAGGCCCAGGACGGAGTGACTCTCAGACGGCAGTCGGGCACCTGTCATGACGTCCAAGCGATGTGCGAGCGGGATTTTTACCAGAAGGCGATCGTCGTTGGCAGCCCACTTCCTAAGCGGGAAGCCGCCCGCCGTACAGAGCGCGGCCACCTGGTTCAGGAGGTCGTCCGCTGCATCCAGGGTGGCGGCTCCGGTGAGTACATCGTCCATGTAGACATCCTGGCGCAGTACATCGGCGCCCAGCGGAAAGCGGCCAACCTCATCGATCGCGAGTTGATGGAGCACGCGGATGGCGAGGTACGGTGCGCTCGCTAGGCCGTACGTCACGGTATTCAGCTGGAATTCTTTGACCTCGTCTCCCTCTGTCCACAGGATCCGCTGCAAGTCCCGGTCGTTGCGGTGCAGCTGTATCTGACGATACATCATCTTGATGTCGGCGACAAAGACATAGCGGTGTCGCCGCCAGCGAGTCAAGGTGTCGGCTAGCGACGGCAGCAAGTTACGTCCGGTGAGCAGCCAGTTGTTCAGTGACGACCCGCCGCCAGTACGCGCCGAGCCGTTGAACACCACCCGGATCTTGGACGTCGTGCTTGAGCTCCGTAGCACCCCGTGGTGAGGCAGGAAGCAGATTCTGGAACCTGGTGAGAGCGACGCGGCTGAGACAGGCGACATGTGTCCGAGTGTCAAGTACTCGTTCATGAAGTCGCGATACAGTAGACCGAATTCGCGATCGTGAATGAACCGACGCCTCATGACGTCGAGGAGCCGTGACGCGGTGCGGCGCGTGGAGCTGAGATCCGGCAGCCCCGGACGGAACGGTAGTCGCACCTGATAGCGACCGTCTTCAAGTCGCACGTGGGTGCGCACAAAATGATCTTTGCACTCCTGTTCGTCAGCGGTCAGCGGCAAGGCGGCCCGAGGAGGCTCTTCGGTCTCCCAGAAGCGGCGTACGAGAGCTACCAGATCGTCACCCGTAGAGCATTGTAGAGACGACACGGGAGCCGCGACGTGACCGGCTCCAACGACGCCCAGCAGCACCCAGCCAAAGCGAGTCAACAGGGCACCGGGCTCGCGTGGTCCTCCTCGGCGAAAGCCCTCCGGCAGAGCGAGGTCCAGGTAGACATCGGCGCCAAGCAGCAACTCCACAGCATCCCGGCGGTGGAACTCCGGGTCTGCAAGCTCGAGACCGTCGAGGTGGGGCCAGGAACGGGCCTCGCCCTCCGAGGTTCCGCCGTACACCGTGAGGCGTGGGAAGACAAGCGGCAAGACGGCGAGCGCAAAGTGTCCATCGCGAGAGGAAACGGTGGCGGTGATTCGTCCGTGAGTGACGCCCGTTTGGATGCCTCCCACTCCAAAGATGGCCACTGACGATGGGGTCCGCGGGAGCCGAAGTCGCTGCGCTAAGGATTCCGCTATCAGCGAGGTTTCTGAGCCCGGGTCGATCAGCGCGCGGACCGCATGCCGAGTACCCACGCGGTCGGCCACGAATACACGGGCAGTTGCCAGAAGCGCCGGTCCACACTCCCGGGGTGGTCGCCTCGCGACATGGACCGTCGTCGTCGAAGATGAGGAGGCAGTCGCAGGTAAGGCCACAGCCGCAAAGGCGTCGTGCAACGTCGTGTGATGCCGGCCTGAGCATGTAGCGCACGCCTTGTGCGACTTACAATCGGCTAGCAGATGACGACCCAGGCAGTTCCAGCACCGCTGGTGAGTGTTGATGGCTTCCCGTTTCTCGCTAACCGTTTTCTTCTTGTACTGCTCACAATAAGCAATAAAGTGATCCCTTTTGCAGAGTGGACAGCTGCGGTTCGGATCAGACCCCCTGGTACCCACATGGCTGCTGCGAGAGGAGCGGCTGGACTTCTCCGTTGGCTTGGCAGGCGCTACGGTCTTCACTGACTGGAGGACCTCCCAGGTCATCAGTTGCTCCTGGAGGAACTCCCGGAGCTTGTCGTAGGACGGAGGCTCCGACGACCTTCTGAGGGAGCTCTCCCACTCACGCCGAGTTTCAGCGTCCAACAGCTCGACGACCAGGTGGACGAATAGGTCCGTGCAGTCGGAGATCGGGCGCCCGATGCCCTTCAGTGCACCGACTGTCGTGAGCACGCCGTGGAACAGTCGGCGTAGTCCATCGGCTGACGGGGCCTTCAATCGCGGCAGCGAAGTGAAGGCTGTCAGGTATGATCTGACCAGTAAGCGTTTATTTTCGAAATACGTAGTCAATAATTCCCACGCATCCTCCAAATTTTCTTCAGTAGACGGCAGGTTGCGAATCAGCTGTTCAGCATCACCCTTTACGCTGATTTTCAGGTAATGCAGCTGTTCAATCTTTGTCAAGGACGCGTCTCCTAGGACCATGGAGCTAAACAGATCTCGGTAGGCTGGCCAATCCTTGAACTTGCCGCTAAACTGCGGTAGGTTGATCCGCGGTAAAGTTCGGCGGGACGGGGCCGTCTCTCGGACCCGTTCGCCGAGGGCGGGCCCCACAGGCTCGACGAACTGTTCCTCCAGTCCGGCGAGTTCGGAGCGCTGCCCATAATACGCCGTCTCAACCTTGCTGAGGAGGTCCTCGGTGGTGTACTTCTCCCGCTTGATCTCCTTCCAGAAGTGGGCGCGGAGCTCTTCATGCTGTTCCGTGAATTTGGCCCATTTATCGTCCAGGACGCGGATTGCAGCCTGGACAGTGTGGGCGTTCAATTTGCTCGCCCCGATCTTCTTCAAGTTCTCCACGCTACGCAGTATGCGTAGGTAGAGCTCATGCTGAGCGTCGATCATTTGATCCATGTCCATTTTCTTTGTCACAGGTCACTGGACACTCACACGGTCACGGAGCCCGCACTCACCCCGACGGCGAAGTTCAATAGGTGCCGGGCGCGACAAATTAACGACCTGTCGATGATCCGGCTCGAAGGACCAGCAAATGTGCAATGTTCGGTGCTACGCGGAGTGATTATAGTTAGTGCGCGGACGCGAGTGTCAAGTTTAGGACGGCACAAAAAAGAAAATAAAGAAAGTTCACGGCACACAATATATATTTTTTACAAATAATTATACAGCACAAAAGAAATGCTCTAATGCAAGCGAACTGCAATTAGAAGCGTTCAATGATTGCCGGAAGTGCAATCCAATGACAAAAATCGATCTCCCGCGAGAAGTGCGACGAGAATCGAGAAGAGCGAAAAAGGAAAGCTGTCTGTGCGCGCGAACGACTGGACGACGATAGATCCGTTCGAACAGAGAAAACGAGAACCAGCGTGATTGTTTTCTACCGACCTTCGAGAGAGTTCCGAGGTAAGGAACACCGTGTTTGTGTTCCTTCCACATAAAGATAGAATCCTCTCGAATGTCGGAGGACAAAATCACTTGTTGTCGTCGGTTATATTTATGACGAGACGGTTACCTGTCACCGTTCAAAACGACAGGTATTTCGAGCGTTAAAGACACGCGCGGTCTTGCGATATGGCGGGGCGCGTTCGCTCGCGATTGTCGCACGGAGATTTAGCGCGAACCGTCGCGCCAAATTCGAGCGGCTATTTCAGCGCAGTTAGCTGCGCTTGTCTCAAGGCGAAGAATGCACTCCGAGATGCATTCACACACCCCCACACACACACACTTTCTCTCTCTCTCTCTCTCTCTCTCTCTAATCCGCAACAATAATACTGTGAACGGTACTTAAAGTTACTTTTCCAAATTTCATACAGAGTCGCGGGTCTATAGGAGTGATGGGTCTATGGTTGAGAGAAAGGTATAGAGAGACATACACGTGGTGTTAGAATTTGACAGATATATATATTTGACACTTAGGATTTACAATTTGACATCGGATACATACAATTGGATAATAAAATTATGTAACAAACAGTAAGATATAAACTAGCTGTAGCAAATCAAAAATATAATATAATAAGATCTGCGAGTAACGGTATTTTCGGAATTGACTTACAAAATTAGTATCACTTATACAAGGTGAAACATTTTATATAATTTCGCGACGATAATATACAAACGGAATAACAAATACAAAATCGGTAAACGTTATGATGGTCTAACTTATTTTCGCGGGCACGCGGAATAGACAGAGGTCACAATACGATATTCCGAGACACGGCACGGTATGAAAAAAAACAAGATAACAATTAGATGACGGAGATTTCGTGATTCTCTAGCACGACTCTCTTGCCGAGTCGAGAACAATGAAATAGTTAACAAACTCGCGGAGACGGCTACACGCAAATCCCGAAAATCTAATAATCGAGCTAATAAAAACGTGACTCTGAATATTTCGGTAACCCGAATTTACGATAATTATTTTCGAGACGATAGACTGTCGGCGGCACTTTTCGGAGAGGGCTCTCTTCGCGAAACACAAAGTCGGCTGGCCCCGCGATACGATACTCCGAAAAACGAAAAGAGAGAGACCGCTCTCTCACACACAAAACGATACGAAAAATGAGAGAGTACGGTACTCACGGTAATTACGGTACACGATCAATATCTACGGTACCAACCAACACGTAACTACGACTACTCGAGAGGCGGCTTACAGTTTCTGGCGGTGAATTCGAGTCCTTGAATCGCACTTGTGGAGTCCTGGAGGCACCCTCTCTAGTCTACGGCACACCGAACAGTGGAGAGCCGGGCCTCGCGCGTCTCGGTACCTTCTTTTTCGCGCCGATCTTTTGCGCATCCCTCGATGATAGGGTCGAAGGCGCTCCAAAAGCGTCACGTCACAACTCCCCCCTCCTAGGGGAGGACCGAGGAGGTCTCGCTACGGACCCTTTACCTGCCGCCTCTCCGGCAGATTCTCTTCCACATGCTTAAAAATTGAAAACGGTAGGCTGCCCTGTATCTCCCTGACTGCCCCGACAGCAACATCGCGACATATTCTTTTCGCGTCCGCGCTCTAAAACCTCGCATGAGCCGCTCCGCGACCTCGCGATAGGGGGAATTAGGAAAAGGGAAATAAAGAATACTCTGGTTCCAATAATATGGGTTTATTCCCCTTTTGGCATTGGTCCATTAAACTAAACAATTCTCAAAAAACAAACACGAGATAAAAATAAAGAAAAATATACGGAAAGGAAAAAAAATCGAACAAAAAAGAAAGAAGAAAAAAAAAGAAAACAAAGAAAAGAGATATAAAAAAAATTAAAAAATTTCTTCGCTCTTCTCCGCGGACCCCGCGACGTCCTCATATGGACTTCCCGTCCGTGTCGCGGGCCCACGGCCACCCGTCCCGCGTCGGCGAGTCCTCGCGTGCCGGCGATGGCACTCGGGGTGCTCGCGGTCCTCGTCCGGCCGTACACGGCTCTGCCCTGCGGTAGTTTGGGCCGCAGCGGGGGCATTGGCGTAGAGTTACGCCCCGCCACCCGCACCCATAACAGAAATCGTGGGTGCGCCCCAACGGACAGGCCGTGTACGCGTGTGCCTGGTTTCCGCAGTTCCAGCACCCACGCTGGAGTTCGCGGATCGGCATCCCTCGGGGAGACCGAGTGCGCTGCACTCGGCCAGAGCGTACCCTCGGGGTTCGCCCCGGAGATGTCGCCCGCTCCGTCGTCCGCGGCACCGGAGGTGTTCGCGGCTCGGGCTTCACACGCGGCTTGTCGGGCGTCTGCACCGGAGTTTCCCGGGTCTCCGGGAACTCCCGCACCACCGCCCCCTCGGTAGTGTATACGGCCGCATGATACTGCCCGGCCGTATCCTCCATGTCGGGCCAGAAGCCCTCGTCGTGCTCCTCGATGAAGGCCGCGACCTCGGGGTGCCGCCTCCAGAAATTCCGCAGCAGCGTCCGGGCCGCGACACGTCCGTAACATTTACGCGGCATCTACAAAACGGTATCCGGAACGTGATAAGCTTTAAGGTCCTTAATGTGCCATTTGCCTGCGGGGGTCCCGTCCAGCTGCGCTAATTCGTACACAACTGGAGAGATCACCCGCGCTATCCTGTAGGGTCCCTGAAACTTGTGAGCCAATTTCGCCGCGATCCTCTCTGCGGCGGACGATAAAACATGTTGCCATTTTAGTACCAGGTCTCCCACCCGAAATCTTTTATCCCGTCTACGTAAATTGTAGTGGGAGGCCTGTTTCTCGTACGCTTTATTCAAATTTTCGACTACCCATTCTCTCAATGACTGTAATCTTCGCATCCTATCTGCCCACTTTGCGGTATCTTTGGCGGTAACTTCGGTAGCTTGCTGAGTGCGCCTACTCAGGGAGTAGACCGGTACTAATTCCCGCCCCACATTCAAGAAAGCGGGAGACGCGCCCAACGACGAATGACATGCGGTATTGTAAGCGAACCGAAATTCGGAAAGGTGTTCGTCCCATTCTTGATGATCTTTATCTATGAACGAGATTGTCATCGTTTTAAGAATTCGATTCACTCGCTCTACGGGGTTAGCCTGGGGGTGGTATGGCGGTACGGTAGTATGCGTTAGGTTGTGTTCTTCCGCGAACGTCTTCAGGACTTTATTTATAAATTCGGTACCGTTATCGGTCAACAAAAATCGCGGCGCGCCCCATCGGGATATCACTAAATCCTCGAGGGCCTCGTTAATTTTACTCCCGTTGGCCGCTCTTAGGGCCTTGCATTCGACCCATTTTGTAAATAAATCCTGTATCACCAAAAGATACTGAAATCCGGCCTTGCTACGGGGCAACGGACCTACGATATCGGCCGCGACTACGGTCCACGGGCCGTCCGCGATACGACGTCCCATCAGACCCGCCGGACCTGCCTAATCCACCTTTGTCCGTTAACACAAAGTCGCAATTTCGTACATAAGCAGTAACTTCTCGAAACAAATTCGGCCAAAAATACGATACGGCCACGCGCTGATAAGTTTTTTCCACCCCCAAGTGTCCCGCCTGCGGCATGTCATGCGACTCCCTTAGGGCTTCTATACGGTATTCCTTCGGTAGTACAAGTTTCCATCGGTCTAAGTCTTCCACGATATCCGAAATTACGCGCTTCGGCCTCAAAAAATACAGTCTACCGTCCAGCACCTTCCATTGCGTGAACTTACTTGGGGTTTCGATAACTTCCCTCAATCGCTTTTGGTGCCATTCGTCCGTAATATTTTCTACATGTACTGTCTCTATCGCGGCATTCACCAAAGCGTTAGTGTGCTCGGTATACGATATCATGTCGGTATCTTCCCCCTCGTACATTCGCGATAGGGCATCCGGTACATGATGCAACGCTCCCTTACGATGTATGACCTTGTAGTCATACTCCAATAATTCCAACGCCCATCTTGCCAATCTACCCGTCGGGTTCTTTAAATTATGTAGCCAGCGTAGGCTACTATGGTCGGTAACTACCGTAAAGCGGTATCCTTCGAGGTACGGTCGAAACTTCTTAATCGCCCATACGACCGCTAAGCATTCCTGTTCGGTAACCGTGTACCTCGTTTCGGGATCTGCCAGTGCTCTACTCGCGAACGCTATCACTCTTTCTTCCCCGTCTATCGTTTGCGTTAACACCGCGCCTAATCCCACCGAACTAGCGTCTGTCTGCAGCACGAACGGTATCTCGAAATTTGGACAAGCCAGAGTCGGTGCGGTAACTAAATGATCTCGGATCTCCTGAAAGGCGCGATTCTGATCATCCCCCCATTCCCAGCGCCTGCCCTTCTTCAACAGACGCGTTATGGGCTCGCTGAACGTCGCGAACTGCGGTATAAAACGACGGTACCAAGATGACATCCCCATAAATCTCCTTAACTGCTTGATATTTCGCGGCGCGGGATATTCCAAGATCAGTCGCGTCTTTTCGGGATCCACGGTAAG